GGCCCCCAGCGCACGTTTGGCCGACTCCTGCCCCGCAGCCTTTGCATTAGGCGGGAGCCTCTGGAACGTGCAGCCCGTGCACTGCAGCCTTAGAACCGAGCCTCTGGAAGCTGCCACCTCGGCCTGCACCTCTTTTCTTTGGGGGCCCGAAGGTGGCGTCCAGGCGCCTTCAAACCCTCCGCAGCGCCTTTGGCCAGGCTACAGCTAGCCTGTCCGAAGCCATGCAGCCTACAGACCTTTTGAGCCTCTGGAAGCTGTCATGTCGGCCTGCACCTCTTTTCTTTAGGGTCCCGAAGGTGACGTCCAGGCGCCTTCAAACCCTCCGCAGCGCCTTTGGCCAGGCTACAGCTAGCCTGTCCGAAGCCATGCAGCCTACAGACCCTCCTGAGCCTCTGGAAGCTGTCACCTCGGCCTGCACCTCTTTTCTTTAGGGTCCCGAAGGTGACGTCCAGGCGCCTTCAAACCCTCCGTGGCCGACTCCTGCGTCGCAGTCTTGCCTGCGTCAGGCGGGAGCCTGGGGAGGGAGCCTCTGGCACTCCTGCATCGCAGTCTTGCCTGCGTCAGGCGGGAGCCTGGGGAGGGAGCCTCTGGAACGTGCAGCCCGTGCACTGCAGCCTTAGAACCGAGCCTCTGGAAGCTGCCACCTCGGCCTGCGCCTCTTTTCTTTAGGGTCCCGAAGGTGACGAGGCGCCTTCAAACCCTCCGCAGCGCCTTTGGCCAGGCTACAGCTAGCCTGTCCGAAGCCATGCAGCCTACAGACCCTCGAATCCCCCAACTCCAAATTCATCCTATCATGTCAAAACCATTGCCCCTGCAGCACCCCTGCCCCGTCCACGCCCCTCTTCCGTCTCCTCTCGTCCATCCACGGACGGACGTTCGCTTTTCGTCGATCGTCCGCGGTGGATTTGAGGGATTCTAACTGCCCCGGTGCCAACGCCGGACCACGCCCACAGACCAGCGACCGTTCGTAAGAAGCAGTGATGTCAACACCTGGCCTGCATCACCGCAAGCCTCCCCTGGTTAGCTCTGAGCTGCCAGGCAAGGCCCTCACAAACGCCCACCGCTCCGCACGCATTGTCCTTTGTTGGCCACATGGCCATTGAACTCCCCAAACCTCCCCACTCGTCAAGTCCTGTCCAAACCACTGCCCCTGCAACACCCCAGCCCGCCACGACCGTGCACAGTACTTGCACTCCCTGGCTGCAGCCTCCTACCTTCTCTCTACAGACGGGCCACCGCCGGAACTACACAAAAACGCCACATGTTACACTCCTCCTCAAAAAGGGGTCGGCGGCGCCCGGGCGAAGCCCTTACAATCCGGGCGCCGGCCACGAAGCCCGTGCCCTGCCCGGAGGGCCTTCGAAGGTTATATACGGGCGCGCCCCCTGCCGCCGACCCTCGTCACGAAAACGGGGGGACCCCCTGGTCACTTCCTGTCAACAGAAGCCCCTGTAATTTACAGTGTATCGTGCGTGTGAGGTAAAAAAACACTGTGTTTTACAGGGTTTTGGGGCCCTTGGCGGCCGAGAATTTCATCTTGGCGATGTCAAAAAACGTAGGTTTTTCCAGTGTTTTTGCTTTGCGGGAAGGAAAAATCGTAAAAAGTTGTATCGGAAGATTTTTTCAACATAAATTGCCTAACATAGGCCCAAGATAGCCAACATATCCCCAACATATGCCCAACATAGCCTCCAAGATGGCTCAACATAGGGCCAACATAGGCCAAGATGGGGCCAACA